AACCATGCTCTCTGAGCTGTCGCGGGCAGTGTCTGCACGTACACCCCATATGTGACTACCTTCCCCCCACCCCTTCCCCTCCCGCTCTCTCCCTCCCCTGTCCCTGTCCTCCTGCTCCTTGCTCTCCCTCTCCTTGCCCATGGTCCCCATAAGCAAATAGATGGGGAAACCCCAGGCTTTCAGAAAGAAGAAAGGGGTGTGCTTTCCACCTGGGGGGCATGGCCAGCTGCCTCTGGGGCTGTCCTCGGGGCCACTTGGCAACTGTCCCCACTGATCCCCCAATGGGTGCCATCGCCCCATAGACAGGGCCTCACTGAGAAGGGGCTGTTTCCCTGCACGTGAGAGTTTGGCTCCCACGCCTCACGCATGCTCCATGACAGCCGTGCCTCTCCCCTTTTCACGTCCCGGGAAAGGGCACCTCCAGGCTCACCGGCCGCTGTCACCAAGGGTTCGCTCGTGTGTGGCCACTTCTCCTGCCCCTTGGTGCATCTGCCTGCCACCCCTTAAACAGGAGAGGACGAGGGTGTGGGCTCCCCTCTCTAGTCCAGACCGGCTCACTTGAGGCCCATCGCAGGTGGGCTTCTGGAAATGAGGGGATCCGCCTCCCGTCCATCACAGGACTCCCCAATGCCGGCCACACGCCATGGTGGGACTGGCCTCACTCCCGGCCTCACATCACCAGGGAGAGTGGCAGGATCACGTGTCTGGGCTGAGACACAATTCACGAGGTTGCTTACACTCTTTTTAAACAGAGCAATTCCAGACGCTGCTGCTGTTGTCTGGATTCGCGCCCAGGGTCCGACTTCATAGGCCTATGTGTTTATGACGCGGGGTCTCTGCTCAGCCTGGCCCTGTTCTTAGCTGCTCTCCTTAGAGAGGTGAAGGCAGCGGAGTCAGCATGGTCACATTTTCTGCTGGAGGACAGCGAATGTGGTCACTGACACACAGGACCAAGGAGGTGGCTGAAGAGATGAGGGGGCCTCAAAGATAAAGTGAGGAGTGGGCAGAGGGTCGCCTTGGCCCTCCATGCCGGAGGGGCTGGAGGAAGCATGTCTTGGTGGGGTCCCTGTGAAGAAAGGAAGCTGGGCGAACTGCCCCGAGAAAGCTGTGCAGTCACAGGGCAGGGGGGCAAGTGAGGGAAAGGCAGGGTCAGGTGGGTACTCTGGGTTGTTAGAAGACTCCTCGAAGGACAGGGGCATTCTGGGGAAGGGTGTGGTTCTGAGGGAAGGAGCCGTGGCGTGGAAAATCTGGCCTCACGAAACAGGAGACCTAGCAGTTCTCAAGTCAGGAAAACCTGGGCCGGTGGGGTGTAGCTGCTCCTAAGGGGCCAGCAGAGCCCCTGGGCCCCCCACCGCTGCATGTGGGCCTGGGCAGAGCCACCTGGGAGGGTCACTGGCCCCCCACCAATGGCACCTTCCATCCCAAATGCCCACCTTAGGCTTTGACTTTTGGGAAACGAGTTAATTTTCTAATTACAATGAAAAGTTAAAAATCAGTTGAAGCCTGAGGGAAAGCCTTGCTCTCCCTGCAGACTCCTCTTTATAGATGCTGAAACCCTGCTCCTGCCCACTGGCCCTGCCTTGTGTTTTTGAGGGAACCTGTTGCCTTCAACCAGTCGGGTTAAGTCCTCTGTTTTCTGACTGTGACCCTGGATTTTCTAGAGTAGCTGACATCCATATGCTTAGCATCAGCAAACCCGTGTCTGCCCCTCGCTCTGCCCCCCAGCCACGACTTGCACAGGCCCCCGCCCCCACAGAGGGTAATCCTGGTCAAGTTCAGCCCCCAAACTTTGCATACCGCTGGCTCTGAGGCCAAGCTTGGTTTTTGTTTCTGCTGGCAGAGATGATGAAAAATAATTAAGAAATTAGTTTCAGGATATTTAAGCTTCTGATCTACTCCCATGTGCCAAAATTTTTTTTTCCTTATAGCAGGAGTAGTGAGAATAGTGACTCCATGGTGCTGCTGTCAAGGCTTAAATCAGATAATAATATAAAATTCACCGGAGACATTGCAGCTCATTGACTCGGCAAATAATTTCTGCCCCCCTTTGCTCCACTCGCCTTTCCCGCGAGGCAGAGGCCTCTGGAGAGGTGCTCCCCTGTGAGGCTGAGACCTGAGAGCTTTCTGTGCTCCTCGCCCGTCTGGCACTCTGCCCACAGGCTCTGCTGTCTCTCCAGCGGGCCGTGACATTTCTACGGCTGTCACCTTGTACACAGTGCACAGCGTTATCCATCAGTAATTTGGGATCTGAGCTTTTTTATGATAAAATATTGCATTGCTGTGCACAGAGATCAGGCTCCTTGGCTCACCCACTTTTCAGGTGTCGCTGGTGTCCTGTGCCCAGGAAACGCCCCCTGGCCACTTACATCTGGTTCGTCCTCTGCCAGGGGCTCCCTGTCCTGCCTGACATGGGAAGCATGCACAGTGTGTCTCGTGTTCAGATCAGCCTGCGGGTCAGACACGCATGGGTACAGAGCCAGCCCAACTCTCAGTTGGGCCGCCTATCCTCCTCCTGACTGGGATTAACAAGGCAGGGTCTAAGGAGGCATGCGCCCCCTCTGGCACATGGGAGGCAGGGAGCGGGTGCCAGATGTCATCGTGGTGAGCGTCACCTCTGTCATCACTGTCACCATCATCATTGCCTCCATCATCACCATCCTCATCGCTTCCATGGTCAACACCACACTTCATCATTTTTTCTTGAATATGTCTGTCTTTGGTATCCACAAGGGACGACATCTCTGTTTTCCCGTCAACCCCTCTGCCTCACCTGCGAGAGTTTAGCAGCTCGAGTGTGCATGGTTGAGACCAGTTCTGATGCCCTTCTGCTAAGTCACCTCTTCGTCACCTCTCATTGCCCCGGAAGGCACAAGCTGAGCCTCATTCCCGCCACAATGGCAGAGCAGTCTGGTCGGAGCAGCGAGCACATCCAGGAGCTGGGGCTGTCCTCCTTCCGCTGACTCCCTCCTGTACAGAGCACAGACGCTGACCCTGCTGCTCCCTGCTGCTCTGCGGGGGTGGCTGGAGGCTGTGCACCCAAGTCAGAGCAGTGCTGCTGATTTCTACTTTGTTTTTTTTAATCTATCACTATCTTATCTGTAGCATTTGCTTTTTATCCTTAAGGATAACACTTAGCTAGGTACTTACACATGACAAATGCAAGAAATAACAATCAGCCAGAGGTGGTATTTCTTCTAACAGAGGAAAAGCTGGTAGTTGGCACACATGCCAAAAATCTACCGCAGGTAAGCCACCCACTAAGGGAAAATGGGTCCCCCTGCTCACCTGCTTCACTTGGAAGCACAGTTTGGAGGAATAAGATATATGATGAGAAATGGAAAAAAATGACCTATTTAAATGCTCTGATTGTAGGGCTGGCATCTCACGGGCCAACGCTTGGCTTTAGAAGAGCTTCATCACACTTGCCTGGCCTGGGTGTCATGTTCATTCACGTCCATTGCATTTACCCAAATACACCACAGGAGGGCAGCACCCCTGGCTCACCTGAAACCACAGGGTCCTGTCAGAGTAAGTGGCCCGGCAGCCCTGGGTTATCACTGGAGATAGGAAAGCTGTCGGGACAGACAAAAGGAACACAAAGGAATTCACCCTGCAAGACTCTGAGTTTCTACAAAAGGAAATGATTGGGCTAATCAAGATGCAAAATGGGGTGGGGTGGGGGAATATCAAAGAAAAAAAAATTCTCCAAAGCTGAGAAAACGGAGATATTTGTTGCCACATGAGAGGCTCTTATTGAATCCCATAACCTGAATACCAGCTACTCAGGAGCATCAGACCTCCTCGCTCCTGTTCATAAGCAGCGATCAATAGGTTCATCTGCAAGAAAGCTCACCCAAGTCGTCCCCCTCAATAGCCACGCCTACCTGGCTGCATTCCCCCTGAGCCCCTGACAGCTCAGCACCTCCCCACCTCCTTCAGGGCCCGACCTGAAGACTAGAATTCTGGAGTCCACAGGCAATGCAGCTGCACTCAAGAACATGCGTCAGAAGGGAAGCCCAGGGCAGAGTCCCAGTGTAAATTTCAATAAGCCTCATTAATTTAAGGCTGAAAATCCAGACTTGGTGATTTTCTGGCTGAACCATAACCCAGGGAAAGAGGTGTACTAAGCAAACACCAAGTTGGAGCAGTCAGCAAGAGGAAATGCTGTGGTTATCAAAGAATAGTTGGATTTCAAAGTCTGATTTTAACTTTGTTGCATAGACTTTTTTTTTTTTTCCAGAAATAGAGGCTTTTCTAATGCACTTTTTCGAATGAGCCTAGTATGTCAGCCTGGTACCAGAAATCAGACTGCTCTCTGGTTATTTAGAACATGCAGGTCTGTGGGAGTTGCTGGCCATGGACTCCTCCCGCCAGCACTTGGTTAAGCTAGAGTGCTGTTAAACTAGCGCTTTCCATCATTCTGGGTCACTAACAATTTACTATGTAATAAACAATGTAGGATTTCTGCTCACAGTTCTTGCTTTTGAAAATCCATTTTCAGGCAACTATACAGATGATTTCCTTCTCTGGTACTGTTAGCCGTGGACACACTGGCCCCGGTGCTTTTCTCGGTGCCTTGGGACTGACACTCTGCCCATCTATCCTTGGGAGAATGTCAGTTGCGGGAACAGAGTCCATTTGGGACAGCAAGTGTCAGGCGCCAGCATCACATCCCACTCCAGATCCTGATGCTCCCTCGTTATGTTATGGACCCCATGGCTTTAGGTCTAGCCCAGCACTGGGTGTGGGCGGCCCTCTCCGTCCTAAGGGGCTTGAGGACGCTCACTGCTAACTTTGTGTCACTTATTTCTTAAGACTATATTCCAGGGGGCAAGTCCTGCCTTTTTTGTTGGCATCCTGGGGGTGGGGTGCTTAACCTAGACATTTCTTTGTGAAGGTACATTCCTCACTAAATCTCACCCAGCTGCCTCCATGACTGTGACTAACACGCTGCTCTGTCATCTCGTTGTACACGTGTCTAATTTATCAGTTTCTCGTAGATTGTCAGCAGCCTGCTGCCTCCGTACCGACACAGTGCTCACAACTAGCGAGGAGGCCAGACAGCCCAACTGGCAGGTAAACCCTCGCCCGTCCTGTGCCCATGGCTGCATGCACCCCCACCTGCCTGCTCCCCTGTCTGCCTTCTCACTCCCTACCACTGTGCCCACTTCCTGTCCAGGCTCCTTGGGCTCCCCAGGCACCTGTGGAGACACCAGCCCACGGGCTTCTGGCCCTGGGCACCGTGGGGCTTTTGCTCCACAGGGCCTGGCTGCCACCTTCCACAGTGCACACCTGCCAGGTCAGGGTGCTGGCCCCTGTGCATCCTCCTCAGTTGCTCTCTGCTCCTTAGAATCTGTCTCTCAGGCCAATGAAGAGGCCAGTGTGCAGTGTTTCTCAAGACTACTCTGCACATCATATGCTTCTCTTTCCTGTCTGCTCTGTACCCTCCTTACATCTGAACTTGAAAGGTGAGGAAACCCTGGCGATTGGCATCCACAAGGGTATTCACAGCAGGGTGGCCCAGATGTGAGATGGACGCAGCTCTGTGTAGGCAGCGTCACAGACACTGAACCCTGGAGGCTGTGCTGGCAGTGCCTGCTCCTGTGAGAGCTCTGTGGGTCCACGGTGGAACTCCCTGGCCCTGGGAAGCAGGCTGCACCCCAGCACCTACCCCTCATCTGCCCTCGCTCTGGGCTTCTCCCCTTGTACCTGGTGCTCTCTGCTGGAGCCGCCGTCCACTGAGTGGGGCTCTAGGCATCCCACTCCAGCCTGAGGGTGGCAGTCTGTGGGGTCCTCAGTGGGAGCCAGGGGAGCCACAGGAGCAACCCCAGTCATCACCTGCGCCTGAGGTTGGTGCTGCCCGCTGTGGCATCTGTGGGAGAGGCACTTGAGTCCTGGACCCACATCTGCCCCTCATGTCTCTGCCTGCCCTGCCCCCCAACCCAGTTCCAGTGAAGGGGGTTGCACTTCAGGACAGTTCTTTTTTATGAATGAACACCAATGGCAGGTCACTGTACAGCCACCGTAATTACAAAGGTTCAAGCCCATCCCAAGGGGCCTCCCTGCACTTAATAGTCAAGAATGGGGTGCTTAACTTCAGCCCCTACTCCTAGACCTGGGACAGGGGTAGCACTGATAGCCTAGACAAATGATTCTGGGGTGAAGGGACTGGCTCAGGAGTCAGATGGCTGCATTTGAACCCCACTTCTGTCACTATAGGTGTGTGCTCTTGTGGAGTTGCTCCTGCTGCCTGAACCCTCCCTCTACCAGGAGCACTGGGGTGTGAATAGGTACTGGAGGTGGGAGGCAGCGGCTGGAATACCCCTTCCACACAAGGACTGCAACCCTCTCATGAGCTCCCTGGTCTGTCTGGGCAGGGAATGGAGAAATCTGGGGACATCTCTGAAGTTTGACTTTATTTCACCTGGCTTGGTTTTGAGAACCAGTTGGGCTAGGTGGCTCCCCACTGTGTGGGGCTCCCAAACTGGGGTCCTCCTAGCTACCAGCACACCTGCACACCAGCCTGCAATTCGCTTTAGAGAAAAGCAGTTTCATCAGCTTTGAACATGTCTTGTTTCCAGTCTCCTAAGTGCGGCAGGGTCTAGAGCAGGTACTGCCTTCATGTCCACAGAGAACTGAGAACCAGCCCCTGCCCAGGCAAGAGAAACTTAGTGACCCCCCACACACACACACCAAGCAGCCAGCCTCGGGTCCCCTGTGCTGCAGTGCTGCGTGTGACCCCTTAGTGATGGCCGGCAGCGTTGGGCCAGGGCAGCCATCACCCACACTTCAGGCAGGAGCCTGCAGTCCTGGAAGGCAAAGACGCCCAAGGGTAAGCAGCTGAAGGCCGCAGCAGTCGGAAGGACTGGGTGCCCACCAGGACCCCATGCCTGGACTGGGTGCTGCAGGAGACAGGAGTGGTGCTGAGGCTGCTCCCTGCGGCTGGGCGGAGAAACGGCGGGCTCTGCCTCCAGTTTGCACAAATGATCAGAGATGTGTCCTCTGGAGGGAAAGAGCATTTCCTTACATTTGAAAACTTAGGGCTTTTGCACTTGGGCTTTTACAGAGTGCGGGTGGAGCGCAGGTGCGCACGTCCTGTGTGGTGGCTGGTTTCCAGGTGTGGCGGGTCCGCGGACAGCAGCCTGGGAGGGGCAGGTGAACCCCCAGGGGCTGGTGGCCAGCGCGTCTCCTCTGTGTTCACGCAGTTCCGACTTGGAAAAGGAAAAAGAAAACCTGAAAATAAGACGACTTGGACATGTAGCAATGGTTTCCACAGTCTGCTGTCACTCCGTGGGCCTCCCACGAAAGCTGGCTCTCGGCGTCCAGGCCCAGTAGCAGGACTCCCGGAGATGCGTAGCCGTCAGCGCAGAAGCAGGGCTCATTCTGTATTCGGAACTTAGCAAATATTCCCATGCAAGAAACTGTCCTGCTTTGCCCCGCTGTGGACCTGTCCTCCTGACACCACGCCTGCCTGCCCCCCAGGACCACCTCCTCACCCACCTGCCTGTCCCCTCCCCTCCACTCCCTCCCACACCTGTAGTTGGGGTCTAAAGATGCCATCTTGTTTTGTTACTCCATTCGCGTTGTGTCTGTGTTCCGAGAGTGAGCGAGACTCTCCGTGTCTGTCTCCCCCTTCTGACCCGGTCACTCAGCATCACCCCCTCTGGCGCCATCCGTGTTGTCACAAATCGCAGGATTTCATCTTATTTTTTTCTTCTTAATGATGAAGTAGTAAGATAATAATATATTTTCTTCATTATAGACCCAAAACATGCTGCTCTTTCACATACTATACAGTGTGATTGTGTTCTAGGCAAATTTGAAATCGTGACAGTATAGTGTAAATAGTCAGCTCTGGCACTCTGGGTAAGGAATCTGAAATAACCAAGACAATCTGAGGTCATGGGGGGCGTCCAGGGGCCCAGGTCTGGTGAGGCCACCCCTTCAGGCTACTTGTACCCCAGCTACTCTTGTCTGATGTGGTGGGTCTGCTGGAGAGAAATGTGTTCTTGGACGGGTAGCAGAAAGAATCTGCCAGGTGGGGCGGGAAGGGTCTGTCCTGGCTTTTACGAATGTCTGGGGGACGCAGGAGACGTGACAGCAGGGAACTGATCCTCTTGTTGAAATCACACGCTCCAAGTCCTGCCAACGTTGTCAAAATAGGAAGTCATGTTCTCCTGGTTAGCCTAACTAGTACAGGATATCAGATCTCCTTTTAACGCAATTTGTACAGTGAAATGTGAACTTTATAAACAGGACAGTGAGAGCAACCTTAAGCAGATAAATATACATAATCACAATTTTGTATTAAAATTCAAGAGACGTGAGAGGATAATTTCAGTACCAAAAATCAGAATTATTTTTTCTAATGCTAACTTTTAGTGACTTCAATGATAATATCAGCTCTAAGAAGCTGTTTATGTAAATAAATAATACTAACAACAAAGCTTGAGTCATTTTCTCGAACATTCATCCTGGCAAAAAGTAGTTCTGTGTATTGATGCCATACTAGATGGGGAAGAAGAGTTTTAGGAAAATGTCATTCTTTTTCCTTAAAAGAGTGACTTTAGTTTTAGTCCTATTTTTAAAAGGTTTGGACCCAAATGTGTTTTGTAGTTTTAACTTGGGAAACTCAGTGAATTTGCTTCCTTATCAACCAGATAGTTGACCTGACTGTGTCCCCAACTCCTCGCGGCCTTCAGAGAAGGTCACCTGGAACCCACATTGTGTACTTAACAAACAAAAAGCACTTGGAACTCCTCAATCTTAACCCTGGCAGGCAGGGTTATTAAAAAGCAGATGGAAGTCCCTAGCGCTGCCCCCCATCAGGGGGTGGAGTCCCTCGGCCACTACCTGAAGACCCTCCACTCTTCTGCCCGTGCGTCGCACCATGAGCTGCGCTGGTCGAGGCATGCTTGCGACAGGGACTGTTTTTGTGCCGACTTTCTGTCTGTGTTTAAACAATTCCTGTGCAAATGCTGTGTCTGTCCGCCCCTGTTGGGCCCTGGTCGTGCGTGCTTCTCACTGGCTTGTTTCTCCCTTGCAGTCCTGACCCAGAGGCCCCGGAGGGGCAGCCGCAGGCCAGCTCCCCGTGCGCCCCGCTCCACTGTGTCTCCAAGCCGCCTCTCCCCTAGTGCCACCTCTCTGGAACCATGTCGGGTGCGCCCACAAGATACTGCCCAGGAGCCGCGGTGTCCCTTCTCGGTTCTTTGATGCAGGGTTGGATCAATGTCCATCGTTTTGGAAGACGGGCCAAAACTGAGAAGAGTGACACCAAGCACAGACTCGGTGTGATCCAACCCTTGTGGTTTCTCTAAATCACAGACAGACTTCTGCAATCAAGTGAGTACCCTCAGCTAAAGAAGAGAGCAGGAAATGTATCTCAAATGGCTGGTGGCCGGGTGGCATGGGAGAGGCCAAAGACCATGTAAAAAACATATGTCATGAACTTATCCCTCTACGTGCTTCCAATTCGGCTACAGAAGTCGATTCCAACACTCGGCATCACAGATATTTATTTTGTACTCTATTTGCCATGTGACTCACATCTGTAACGGTCACCCCCGGAGAGGGGAACTCGATTCATTTCTTTTAAATAAGCATCATTTGTTTAGAGGCGTGAAGGTTTTCATTTGGTGGAAATCTGGGATCGGCCAGATTGTGGCCATTTTTTCTTGCACAACATGATGGGCGAGGTGCTTCAGAATGTTCCAGTAACTGTGTCTTGCTGATACTCGGAGATTGTTCATGTACTTACTTTCTAATCAGTGGCGCATTAACTGCTGGGTTGTTTTTTTCTTAACTAGAATTCTTCACTGGACATTATCAAGTAAATCTAAGAAAGGACTGTGTGATGATTCGTTGACTTATTCAACTTCTGATGGCATCTTTCATTTTTTTTTTAACTGCAGACAAGCAGACTCACTGGTGCTGTTGTGTGTGTGTGTGTGTGTGTGTGTGTGTGTGGGCGTGAGAGAAGGCTCGGGAAGGGGACATGCTGTTCGTATCACCCCCAGGATTTTATCACTCCTCCCACCTTCAGCCCTGGGTCCTGCCCTGGGTCTTGCTTGCTGAAAGGTCTCAAGTTCAAAGGGAAGCTATCTACATAGATGTCAGTCAGTCTGGTTAGTTAGTTCACTCAGAAAGCATTCAAGTGTGATTAAAAGTATGTGTTTTGTTGTTGTTAGGTTTTTTTTCATAATGAATCTTCCTTGCCAAAAAACAAAAACAAAACAAAACCAAGAGATAATAAACCTTAGCTCATTGTCTACTTTTAACAAACACTCAGGTGCCTACAATCGTTCTATTCTATTGAGATGCTCCATGTTCCTCCTTCATTTACAGACCCTGCTGGGTAACTTTTATGACTTCATTTAAGCAGTGGATTTTCATAGTAACGTTTCTTTTGCACATCATCTGACAAACAAGGAAAACAGTGAATCGAGCCAAAAGGTCTGGCCCTCCTGGACTCCCCACCAACCCGAGGGTGCCCACATTGCTCCTCCATCCTGCTTCCTTGTTTGGTCAGGTGGCCTTAACTGATTTAAAATCACGACGCTCTGGCCTTTCCATGTACCTTCTCTTCCAAACAGGAACAGTCCTCACCATTCACACAAAAGGTGGTTAATAATCAGGGACTCAACCCGAGGCGCAGTGGGAGCCCCTAGCTCACTGCATGATGTGGTGGCGGGCACCTCGGTGGGCAGTTCACAGAGCACAGGGCCGGGGCTTTCTGCCACCGCACACGGGTGGGCAGCAGGTGCCATGACCAAAGCAGCCAAGCGGCTTCGAGTCTCTTAGGCAAGTGCTCTTTACAGCCATGTCGTTCATTGTGTGAGCTGGCGTAGCTGGCATACCCCAACCAAGTGGGGTTCGGGCGCAAGCTCAGAAAGGACAGCAGCAAACTTCACTCATAAGGCTGCTCCTTCCTGCCCTGGCACCAGGTTGCAGACACCCCCGCAGCAGTGGGCTGGGTCTATGGGCAGTGGGCTTGGGTTGGGTGCAGCGGGAGAAGCACCCCTGCCCACCTGCCTGCTCCTCCTGTATTTCTGTTTCAAGCTCAGGCACTTGGGAGCGGTAGATGCTCAGCTGACCTGTTGTGAAACTGTTTGTACCTGAGGGATGTTGATGCCTTTCTAAAAAGTACCTCGGACACCACCTTAGGGTGCCTCGCCTGTGGGGGCAGTGTGGGGTCAGCTGGGCAAAGGGCACTCAAACCCTCCTGCGAGTCCATCGCCCGCAGACAAGACCCTTGCCTCCACAGTGCAAAGTCAATCTTTGTCTATTATAAATGGGTTTTGTTTTAGCTCTTTCTGTTAATAAGGCAGGGGAAAGACTGTTTTTGAAATGTTTATTCTACAAAAGGTCCATTTGAGCAAAACTTGGCCAAGAAAGTGTAGAAATTGGACACAAAATCCTCATTAGCAGCGCAGAGTTGGGCAGCCGCCCCTGAGCAGTGACAGCTGGTGAGTCCACACTGGTGGTGTGCGCGGGGTGGAGCGGAGCCACAACTCTAGTTACTTCAAATGAGCAAGTGTGTGCAGCACCAGTGTCTTCAGTCCCTGTAAGCAGCAATGTCCAATGATGGACATTCAAAAGGATACGGGAAATGTAAAGAATGAGCAAAGATCAAAAAGAATGAGCCTCAGTAAGACCAATCGAAGACAGACCTGGAAAGTAAAACAAGCTTCAGGAACACGAAGATGTAGCTGATTATCACAAAGACCGCAGACAAAGACAAAAAGTAACTAGTACGAGCGAGCACTTCACAAAGGAACCAGGTCACTTTTTTAAAAGTAAGCACAATTGCTGTACTGATAAGAATCGTCCACATATGAAATGCCTTCCTGTTCTTATTGAAAAACAAAACCAAGAGAAGCAATTTGGCCTCTGGCCCAGGGCGTGGGGGCACGGCACCTGCGGCCCACAAGCTTGGAACTTGTCAGCCCCCATCCATTTCTATTCAAGAATCAGAATTTGGAGAACTTTGAGAAAAGCGAAAGTTATTAAATAATTGAGACTCCATTTCAAAAAGATTATAAATTAGCCTCAGGAAGAGGAGGTATGTGAGTGATCTTCAAGAAAAGAAAATAACCATCTATAGTAGCTGATACAGATGTTATTGCTAAGACTAGAATAAGGAAAAAAACTAGCTTCAGCATGAAGGATTTATATTAACTCTAGAAAAGAGATTACAGCTCAGAATTGATAACCAAAAGGAAGATTTTTAATCAAGTGTTGGTTTGTCTAATAAATTAAGTGGCAGGATATGTTGTGATAATGTGTTCTAATTCTGGGATTCAGAAATCCTATATGATTCTCTTACATTTCAAGTTACTTAGACTGGCTAGTCAGAAAATATTTTCTCCCTTGAAAATAGGGTCGCAACCTTCGTTTTTCCATAGTATTTCATAAGAGCAAAATAAAACAAGATGGTTGGTATTAGCTCCTTCTCAACTCTGTTCCACGGTATCTTTAAAGTTCTCCAAAATGCAGAAATTTAACAACTGTCAGATTCTAAAAAGCCAGTGTCCTCAGGAATACTCCAGAAATAGAAGGCATGCAATAATCCCTTCTCTGGGAGGAATAAATGCCTCTCAAGTTTTATCTTTTCTTAAAAAGATCTTCCATATCCAATATTTGCTTTTCTATGCTTTGGAGATTGTTCCTTTACTAGATGGTCCTTCTGCTTCAAACAAGCGTGGAGTGTTGGGCAGGTGACAATGATGAGTGTGGCTATTTTTTGAGCTACTGTGTTAAATACGATCCTCGACAGATTTCAAGTGGAAATGACAGAATGTGTAGAAGGAAGAAATGGAAGCTGTTTTCAGCCGGGGAAACAACAGCACATCTAACATACGATAGTTACAATCCTTCAGCCAAAAGAGGTAACTGACTCTTGGGACATGTGGGGCTGTCTTATAGACAGCTCAGGGGCTTCAGCCTAGGGTGCTACAGCTGAGGGGTGTGGCGGTGGGGAGATGGGCTGGACGAGAGAGGCCCTCTGAGCACACAGATCATAGATTTTAAAAGGTGTCCTCACAGTTTGTGTGTGTTTGCTCCACCGGAATGAATTAAAATGATCCTTATACAGCAGATTGCAGAAAAAAACTTTCCAAGAATATGTTTTCAAACAGAGGAAACAGTTCATCCCAAAGCTGTTGGCCTGGAGCATGACAATCTGGCCAGTGGGATAGAGACTGACTTTTACCTTATCAACGATTCAGTGGACTCCTGGGACCATGTGAGTCCCGAGCGGCTCTTTCTATAACTCCCAGGTGAGCTGTGACCATGGCAGCGCCGATGAATGCTGGCTGAGAACATGTTTTTATCTTAACACCGTTTTCATTCACAATCTGCTCCTTACCGTTCTCCAATGAAAACACTGCGAAAGGAAGCGGGAGCTTTCCAGGTTTTCCTCTTTCAGCAGTCGTTTTGAAGCAGAGATCAGAGAACTCTAAAAAGAGACATGTCTTCGTGTTGTTGACATGTTCAATGATGACGGAGATACAAAATGAATCATTTTGTTGTTTGGATTTATAAATAGGATTGCACACCAAATCTTAGAGGAAATAAATTATTTTAACTTGATTGTCACTGAATTTTTAACGCAATGGTTTGACTGTTAGAGTCCATTCAACAATTCTTTGAAAATCTCTGATGACTTTTTTTAATAATCTCCATGTTTTCATTTGCATGATTCTGCATCCACAGTGAACCACACAAGATTGGGATACTGTGTTTCTCTGCATATCAACATGTGTCATGTGCTAGCTGTGTTGATTATTGTTGCAATGACCTTGCTCTTCCCACCTGGAATCGTCATCTTGTTATTATGCCTTTTGGGGTTCAATGATGTAAACTGTTTCCACCTGATCATAATACCCTATAACATCATGACCCAAAAAACTGACCTAAGGAATCTTTGTTGCTATCTTTCAAAATCTAAATTTCAAAGGACACTGGTTTTCAAAGACATATGCATTTATTTTACCTTCCAAAAATTCCTGAATGTATTATTGCTTGTCCTTTTACATTTTCTTATTGTAGACAATCTAAGGGACCGGCTCCCGGGAGAGTCCCTATCGTATGTGCTTGTATTTGTGTGAGCTGGTCCTGTATTCCTCCATGTTTGCAAAAATCACTCCAGTGCTAAGAAAATAACTGGAAGCCACCACATCCACCCCTGTACCTTGGTTTATGTTACAGCTGAATCTGGTGTCATGCATAACTCTTTCCAGAAAATAAACGGGTTATTTTTTGTTTATTTCATCTCTGCAACCTTTTTATCCCTTGGAGAAAAGTTTCCATATCTCATTTTGATTTGGTTTATAAAACATGAAAAAAGTATGCCTTTTTCTATGCTTTATGTGTCCAAGGGAGCACTTAATCGAACCAACAGGTAGATGTTTTGTTGTTGCTACACATTCCTGTTAAATAATGGATATTGGCTCTTCTGTCTCTCCTACTCATAGTCTCTTCCCAAGAGGTATTTTCGGCAAAAGGAGACACTTAGTGAATTAGATTAGAAATGTACCAACATGAAGAAAATGCCTGATCTTAAAAAAAAAGAAAGAAGCATCTCATTGAAAGAAACATTTTAATAAATGAAGAATGAAGCTTGGTGCTTTGGGAGGGGGCACAATTCTTTGTTCTCTCACCTATGAAAAAACAGCAGAGTCCCCAAACTTTCAGGAAGGCTCAAAATTTACCAGCTACTTCAACTGTGTTAGGTGCTTGGGAGTCGTGGACTTTAACTGGATTTGATTTCAGGAGGCAGGGGAAACAGGGTCTGACAGAACATGGCCTCAGGTGAGATTCTAGTGAGCTTAAACCTGTTGGGGGTATTCATTGTAACTCATCCAGCCAGCCCAGCATGAACACTGCCACAGCCTGGCTGGAGCTGCCTGCCGGCCTGTTCTATAAATGCAGCACTAGGAACAGTAGCCTGAGCTTCCCTTTTCTGAAAGCTGTCCTTTTTCTTTGAGGCTGGATCTCGGAGTCTCCTTGGTCTTCTCTTGTGTACTAAAGCTGATAGATTGTTACATTTAAAAGCTGAGCCCAGCTCCTCCAGTCCCTGTGTGTAGCAGGGACCTGGGTGGCAGAGGCTGTGGGGAGGGCAATGTGCAGGTTGTCTGCAACCCCACAGGGGGTGAGGAAGAGACCAGAAGTGATAGGCATTTGTGGAAGGGATTTTCTGAGCTTTGGGATTGTATACACTTTAATGTGCATGGCAGGAACTTAACACATTTTGAACTGGAGCAGTAAGCGGAATCTCTGGCACTTTGCCACCTACCTTTTGTAGGCCATGTCAGGAATTGGTTTGTAGGATCCGACGGGCCTGCTCTGCTGGCAGCTGTTACTCGGTACTAGCTGGTGGTCCCTGTCGTTCTGCGTTGCTCATTTCAAAAACCTGATCTGAAAGATTGTGTTTGATGGAAGGAGGTTTTGTGTGTACAGTGAAGTCACCTGGGGGGAGCGGCTTCCTACACTGCTGTGAATCAGCTGTCACTCAAGTGTGTTAAGAAGAAACTCAGGATAATCCATCTACCACGTAACATCATGGAAGAGAAATCTTACTGGGAAAAATATTGCCAATGTCAAAGTAAACATCATGTGTAATGTAATTTAAATCTGGATAGCAATATAAAAACAAATAGAACTGAGGTGGCCAGAGGGGTTGGAGTAAGGGTGGAGGGGGCTTGGTAGATGGTGGTAGACTGGAGTTTTTAAATTATTCCAGAAAGAAAAGTGAATAAATGACAACTTTGGAGACATCTTGTTAAGTAGTAAAAAAATGTCACAACTCTCTGCATAATCTGCGAGACCCACCGCTAAATGAATATGTGGACCTTCCTGTTCAAAAGCAGTTTAGAAGCTTCCAGACAGTGACTGCAGCTGTGAGTTAAGCAGGGTGTTCTGGGCAGGGTTATGGGAGCAGAAAGGCCTGCCAGCCCCTGCATCCATCCTGGCCCAGAACCCGCCCAAGTCAAGGTCAGGACCTGAGCGCTGGGCGTAGTTCTCAGAACTGCTAGTTTGAGCAGAATGGACTTCACAGTTTCTGTGCTTGGAAGAAAAGCGAGCATGCTAAATTCAGGGGAAAGCATTTAAAGGTATGACTTCAAAGAGTCACAAAGCTGACTCTTGCAGCCCTGGCCTCCTGTGGCCACACGGCCCGCATCAGAACCCCTGAACTCTGAACTGGGTGCCAGGCTGCACAGAGAGTAAACATAGCCAAAAGACATCTGCCAAGTATCAGCTGCTGACATTTTAATTAGTGTATATGAAAGTCAGACCCAAGAGCCCCACCGATAGCGAAGTGATTTGGCTTCCTCTGAAGTTATAAATGATTCATGTCAGCCAAATGTCACAGGAAGATGTGCCTCCCTTAAAAGAGCTATTAACCCAAGATTAATAAGTGATTCATATTGATTTCTTCCAAATCAAAGGGGAAGGAAATTATTTACTTCATTGAAAGTCAACGACAAGGTAGATTCTCATAAATTACTGAAAAACTGTTTGAAAATAGTAAGGTGCCCTATATGTGAGAGGGATAAATATAAAAGTATATTTATTTTGTTTCTGGAATGTACCAGGGAGACCTATAGCAGCACAAGTAGAGGCTCTGGTGGAAGCAGCCCCAGAGGGGCCAGTCCTAGAGTTGAGTGCCTTTTTATCTTGTTTCCTATTTCAACCATGGAAATAGCGCTTATTTAAGACCAAACGAAGAAAATGGACTTTGAAAATTTTCAGTGAAAACATAAAAATTTACATAATTTCTAGAGAAATAGTTATTTGAAAGTAGGCTACATCAGCAGAAGTATTTTTTAAAGCATGGGATTTTGTTCAGATTTTACTCATGGCGCTTACGAGCTTCCAGCACAAAGGTACTTAACCTCCATCCCCAGGTGTTTCACATTAAAACCAAGGCTAAAAAATGCCCACCTGGCCAGGCTATTGCAAATTTAACATCTTTTAAAAGCATGTTCAGCCTTCGGTAGCTACAGTAGCACAGTGCCCACATCAGAGAAGGCCTGTGTGGGTGAAATCTTCCCATGCTCTCGGCCTGATGCCTGCACCAACTCAGCAAGTGTGCATCAGAAGCCACTTTGTGTCAGATGGAGAGGCTCCAGAGGCATCAGAGAACAAAACCAGCTGCATTGAGGAGGGAAACACAGAACACAGCAAACAGGGAGCATGTAAACTCGAAGTCCAAGCAGGCAGTGAAACTGTTAGGGGCAATTAAAGAAAGAAGTAGGGCAGGGACAGAGACTGTGCTGAGTGGAGTGGGGAAGCGAGATGGATGGTTCAGAGCACCCCGATCCAAAAGAAGAAATAAGATGAAAATCCTGTGTACATCATGGCTGCTTCCATTTTGAACTGATCATGTATATTCAATATCTACATGGAGGATAGCAGACAGCAACACACATTAAGCAACAGCATTTTCAAAAAGTAAGTGTTCTAGCATTGGGGTGAACAATACAAAATATGCATGTATCTTGTGGCGATGTTGCTTTCAAATCCCAATATTTAGCTTCCAGATATCACACCTTTTTGAAGTTTCGGGAGGAAACTGCTTCTCCAGTGAAAATTTGAGTCAACACAGACCTCTCCTGTATTTCCATAAATGTGCCTTTTCTGTTAAAAAAAAGAAAGAGAATTCGAGTCAAATAATCAGTTGGTCGTTGTATTGGTAACTGCCGATTGTAATGAGCCTGTAATGGATCTGATACTCTCAACATAGCTCCTGCTGTTGCTCTTCAGTGTGTGATTGAAGCTGAGCTGCTCTTTCCTCTTGGCTTTAATTCCAGTTGTCCCCTTTTATAACCCTTTTATGCAAATCTCCTAAAAATTAAGGGCATCTTTTAAAACATAGCCTTCTGAACAGCTTCTAGTCCAAAGGTAAGAAAGGTCATGTGGCTAAGCTTCGCCTCCTGGCCATGGAGTTCTACCCCTTCTTAGACTCCTGGAGTCTTGGGCTTCCAGAGTGACTATTTCAACAACAGGGACGCGGAGATGTGTGCCTACCCTAGTTCTGGGCTATTTTACTAGAAGATAAGGAGCATGGCCCTAAATGTGCTTACCCAACACAGAGAGGACCCTATCAAATCCCATGGCCAGGTAAGGGTACAGACTTAATAAATAGCCAAGAATGATGAAAACAAAATCCAACTGATGAAAGCGTATTTACTTTCAATAAAATTATCTCTTGTGAAGAGTTCTTTGAAGATGGCTGGGATTGGGGCATCATTCTGTAATGTGATTTTAATAACACATGCCAAGCCAGTCAAAGGCTTTCACAAAAGTGGGCCTTCTCTGGGAAAAGGCCTTTTGTTGGCCTGAATGATGACAGAGTCCCACATCTAATGACTGATGGGAAAGCAAGATTTTCAGAAATACTCCCCCCAAACACATCTCATTGGACATTGACTACTCAAAGTCAACATTTGTGCATATTGTGTTCATCACTACGTGGTTCTATATATTTTTCAAGACACATTGCTTCCATGTGTAGGATGTTTTCTTACTCAGTACACTTCCTTAGGACTTGGAAAGTGGGATCAGATCAGGGAAATTGAATAAACTCCTGTTCCTTCTGTTGAGCTGCAAACTGGAGGAGTCTCAGTGAGTGGACTCGGAGGTATCTGTCTGTCCTCTGGTCCTCTCTATGATGCCCTGCATGTGACCAGCCCTTTCACCTAGAATGCTTAGTTTATACTGCAATGCCCCAGCAGTCTGTCAATGCGCTTGTAGTGACTATTAGTGACCACCCAGTACAGGTATTGGTGGAATCTCAAATATTCCTTCAAGATCAACCAAAGGAGAGGCCTCCCTGGTGGAGCAGGGATTAAGTCTCAGCACTATCAAGCTATTGCCAGCCACTGAAGCCTGAGTTCAGTCCCTGGCCAAGGAGCTAACCCACAGGGTGCAGCAGACCTCTCCTGTCTTACCAGCTGCTCCCCGCAGCAGTGTACTTCAGTGGATCCACCCGTTCTGCTCCCCATTCTGTCTCTGGTGAATCCTCTCACCCCCGCATGGGGTGAGAACTGGCCTGCACCCCAGTTCTTGTATGCATAAATAAAAATAAATCTAAAAAAAAAAGATAAACCAGAGGACTAAAATGATGCCAACCTGCAAAGGTGGAAACTGGAACACCTGTGAAGTCACGGCTTCCAGAGTCACATTGTTAGGACCAGTGTGGTTAACGTGTGCAGAAGACATCTGATAACATTGGAAAACAAGCTCAGTTGGAAAAAAAGCTGTGCCCTA